AAGAACAGGATCAGGAGCAGGAGCAGTGGAGAAGCACGGGGAAAAGCAGCAGGATAGGCAATTACAGGGGGATTTGGAGCGGCGGCCGATGATCCGTCCGACGGGACGGCTCCATAGTTCGCGGAGCGCGCGGAGAGGCAGGAACTGCGTCAGACACTGAAACGGTACACAGTGAAACGTCACGCAGTATGACAGGAGCGCGGCACATTCAATTCGGGGCCCCGGGGGGTACTGCGGACAAAATTTAGTATCACCCACAGAGCTAGAGCAGGGGCCAAAGGCGAGGGGCAGGGGAAAGGGAACGGGTACCGAATGCGAGAAAACAAATCGTTCAAGGGAAAGTCGTTCATCACAGTGAAACAACGGCCGCGCAGAGCGGCAGAGACGCCGACGACGACAACGACAACCACAACGACGACGGAAGGGGGAGAGGAAGGGGCAGAGGATAAGCAAGAGGAGGGGCAAAGAGGCGCGTCGGCGCGTCTGCCTAGCATGGCTAATAGCAGGTGGGCCGCGAATCGCGGGTCGCTACTGACGGGGCGCCCAGAACGTTTATGTGCCTGCGTTCGGCGCCATCGCTTCCTATCCTAAAGTATGTTTGGCAATTCGCTGTTCCCAACCATCCTGTGGTGTTGGGCTCTCGTTTTGAAGAGACAGCGCCCCGCGTTCCTCACATGCTTCGCGGCACCATAGGGAGCACCACCGAAGGCCCCAGTGGCGTGGTTCGTATGCCGCCCCCCCTCCACGTTGGCACACGCCTCGCACGCTTCGTGGCCCCATAGGGAGCTCCACCGAAGGCCCTGGTGGCGTGGTTCGCATGCCGCCCCCCCCCTCACTTTTGGCACACCCCTCACACTCTTCGCGGCCTCATGGGGAGCTCCACCGAAGGCCCCAGCGGCATGGTTCGCATGCCGCCTCCCCTCCACTTTAGAACACCCTTCGCACGCTGCGTGGTTCCATAGGGAGCTCCACCGAAGTCCCCAGTGGCATGGTTCGCATGCTGCGCCCCCTTCTAATTTGGCACACGCCTCACACTCTTCGTGGCACCATCGGCAGCTCAACCAAAGGCCACAGTGGCATGGTTCGCATGCCGCACCCCCCCCCCATTTTGACACACCTCTGACACGTTTCGTGGCCGCATACGGAATTCAATCGAAGGCCACAGTGGCATGGTTCGCATGCCGCACCCCGTCTACTCTGACACACCCCTCACACGTTTCGCTGCCCCACAGGGAGGCCCCAGTGGCGTGGTTCGCGTGCTGCCCCCCCCCCCTCCATTGTGGCACACCCCTCACACGTTTCGTAAACCCCAGAAAGGGGGCCCCACCGAAGGCCCCAGCTGCAGGTGTAGCATGCCGCCCCCTTCCCCCCTCCCCCTCCATTTTGCACACCCCTCACACGCTCCATGGCCCTACAGGGAGCTCCACCGCGTGCCCCAGCGGCATGGCTCGCATGCCGCCACCCTCTAGTTTGGTACACCCCACATGCGCTTCATGACACCATAAGGAGCTCCACCGAAGGCCCCAGCGGCACTGGCCGCATGGCGGCCCCGCCCGATTACGGCGCACGTTTCGCGCGCTTCGTACCCATAGGAAGCTCTGCCGAAGGCAGCTCTCATAGCGGTGGTATTCAGAACTGCGTATGGAAGGGGTCACTCGCCAATATAAGTTCCATGTGCCACCATTGCCATGTGAACCCGTATTTTCTCGAAGACTGTGTGTCCACCCATCCCTTCCCGCCCAGCATTGGGACTTGTTTTTCACAGAGTTTCGTGGACCGCTTGACATCTGCAATCCACGGTTCATGCTTCCGTCGCGGCACTTGGAAGATGTGCCGCGTCTATTGGGACGTTTCAAGCAACCCCACCCGCTCATCCCAAAACGATGCCCAGGCGAGTTACCCTGATCAGGAGCATGCAATAGAACGCAGAGCCGAGGACGCCGTCATGCCCCAAGAGGGGGGGATGGAGGAGGGAGGAGCGATAAGGCCGAGGAATAGGCCGAGGAATAGGATGAGGAGGAGGAGGAGGAGGGCGAGCAGAAGGGCCAGAGGCCTCTTGGAGGCCTCTTGGGGCGGCTCGGGGGTCTCTTGGCTGCCCTGGGGGGCCTCATCGGGCGCCTTGTGTGCATCTGGGGGGGCCTCTCGGGGCCTCTTGGGGGTCGCTTGGGGGCCTCTTGGGGGCGTCTTGGGAGCCTCTCGGAGCCGCGTGGGCGCCACTTGGGGCCCTCTTGGGAGTCTTGGAGGCCTTATTGGGAACATCTTCGAGGATATCGACCAAAGAGGGGAGGGTCATTAATTAGCTTCGCCCCGCTGGAGCTCCCAGAGTCGCCCTTTGGGGCCATCTCTGCGCGCTCCCGGGCGCTGTTGGGACTGTCTTGGGGCCATCTTGGGCTTCTCTTGGGGCCCGCTTGGAGCCATACTGAGCCCTCGGGGGCCCATCGGGAGCGAACGGGCGAGAAGGCCACTGTCATTGATTGTCGTTCGATGTTGGACGGATTTTGAGCCACTTGGAGCCACCCACCATGGGGCTTCTCGGAGGCATCTTGGAGGCTACCTTGAGCCAGCTTGGGCCATGTTGCGTCATCTTGGAGGCGATCTTAAAGCATCCGGGGCCCTCTCGGAGCCCTCTTGGGGCAGAGGCCTCCCACATATGCTCCCGAAAAGCCAAGATCCGTCAAAAACCGAGCGTGTGTTTTCACTGCTTGTGTTGATGACAGAGGGCGGGGGGGAGCCACCAAAGTCGCCTCTCGGGGCCCTCCTGGGGCGCTCTTAGGGCCGTCGTGGGCCCGGTGGGCCCCTCTTGGGGCCCATCTTGGGCCCTTTTGGGGGCCATCTCGATGCTTCCCTCGGAAGCGACGGGTCCAGAAATGTCATTGACTTTCTTTGGGCGTTTGAAGGGCTTGGGCCTCTTGGGAGCGGCCTGGGGAGGCCCCTAGCCCACCTGGACCCGTCCTGGAGGAAGGGGAATCTTGGGACCTCTTGGAACATCTCGGAAGCCGTCTTGAGCAAGCTTGCGCTATCTTGAACCATCCTGGAGGCCATCTTGGACTCTCCTGGGCGTTCCTGGGCCGTCTTGGACGCTCGAGCGACCCGCGGGGCCCCCCGACCAGGTCCAGGGGGAGGGGTGAGCCCCTCTCCGAAGGGGCAGAGGGAGGTTGGAGGAGGAAACCCGCTAAACCACGCACGCCCTAGAGGGCTGGTGGAATGTCCTCCGCGCGCTGCCGCCCAGTGATGGCTTCGTGCCTTCCCGCAGTGGCCATGCGGATACGGCGCCGTGGGCGTGACCACTGGCTCAAAGCAGGGACCTCCATGACTCCATGCGAACTGCCTGTTGCGATTCAAACGATTGAAGTGCTTAGACTTGCCCACGCCGATGACCGCGGGAGGGACAGCGCGGCACCGTGGTCTTTCCCCAGTTTGAAGCCCTTCCAACTATTTCTCCGCAGGGCTGGACCTAAACGGTGTTTTTGGTGATTTCGTTGGCCGTTTTCGTTTCGATTGCGTTTTGCGGTAAAGGAGGATTCGAGGCAAAAGCGATGGAAAACTAAAACAAAACGGAAACGAACAACACTGTCTAGGTGCAGCCCTGTTTCTCCGGGCACGTTGGCTCAAGGATGTCGATGGCATCGCTCCCGACGCACGCCGTGGCGGCCTTCTCGGCTACCCTGCTCGCTGGGAGGTCTGTCTCGCCTGGATGCTTCATGAATCCTTGTCTGGACGTCTCCTGCTCTTGGCATCGCTCGGACGTGTGCATTTTTCCTTCGGCGAGGACCATCGAGGAGCATCCTTGATCATTTGGCGAAAGAACCACGCACGAAACCGAAAAAAACACAGGGAATGGACGTCCGAGCGATGGCGAGTAATGAATTCGTGTCTGGACGTCTCCTGCTGCAAATGACAGAGCACCGAGTGGCCTTCGGCCCATCCCGCCATCGTGCCTGGGTTGAAGGTAAGCGGCTTCCTGGATGCCTGTGAGGATCTCTTGGGAGGCATCTCGGAGGCCTCCTGGAGGCCATGTTGGGAGTGTCTTGGGGCACGATGGGGACCCCTTGGGGCCTGATTTGGGCCTCTGGGGCGCACTTGGCGGACTTGTGGGGGGATCTTGGGGCCATCCTGGGGCGGAGGGCTCGAAATGTCAGCTCGTGCTCCCCACCCTGGGCCGCTCTGGGGGCCGTCTTCGGGGCCTCCGAGGCGGCCCAGGGTGCGCCCAAGAGGGCTCCGGGACGCTCCCCGGGGCCATCCGAGGCCGTGCTGGACCCGTCCCGAACAGCGCGCCCTCGGCCTCTCGAGGCGCCGCGCGGGGACCCCCCCCCGGGAGCGCGCAAGGGCGCCCGGAACTCCTGGGCCGCGGGCCCCTTTACTCAGGCAGTGCCAAGGGGGGTCACCACTGGGGGGGTCGCCAGCTTCTCCTGGAAATCGAGGTTCCAGGATGGAGAGTCGAGGGGTCGAGGATGTTCTTGGACGTTTCTTTGCGTTTTCGGGGCTCTGGGGGGCCCAGTTCCTCGAGGAAGTCTCGAGGAAGTGGCGTTTCCTCGAGGAAGTGACGACCCCCCTAGTGGTGACCCCCCTTTGCACTGCCCCACTTACAGAGGTTTGTCCACAGACTTCACGACCAAAGACTCAAGGGTGCCTGGGCACACTCCACGTCGTGCCTCGAGGCGCGGTCGCGGATATTTGTCACGTCGCTCCGGCTCCGCGCGAGGAGCGAGGCGTCGTCAGGCGGTCAGTGGATTGTCCAACTCGTCAGTTACAGACCCCCAGGAATGTCCCGAACGCTTCTAGTTGAGAGCGCCCCATTTACGCTTGAGCGCTTGGAAGCACTTCGCCAATGCTGCAATGACAAGGAACATGCGGATGAGGGGGATTCGGAGGGGCCGAGGAGAATGGGGGCAGGGGCGGGGAGAGTGAGGGAGGATGAGCAACAGGAGAGGCAAGAGGAGAAAGATTTTTGAGAGAAGGAGTGGGGGAGAAGAAGGAAGGACCAGGAGGAGGACCCCAAGGCTCTTCATGGAGGTTAAGGGCAAGCTGCCACACAAGTTTATCAAGACAGGCTGCCACTTCGCTGGGGCCACCTCTCCTCGTCCATCTCATGGTCATCGTCGGTAACATCGTCTGCCAAGATATTATCCGTCTTCTCCTCGCCTTGCCAGCCTGTTTCGCATGTTGCCATCTCGATGAAGCTGTTCTGGGCTCGAGGGCCTTCCTCGAAGACGCCGCCTAGGATGTCCAAGGCACTTTCTTGGATCTCTGTATAGCTGCCAGGCCTCACTGTGCCGCCACCTCTTCCCAAAAACATGTGTCGATCGCGCGCCAGAACCTTCCAGAGTAACCCCCGACCCGTTTCTTCGCCCCCTCGTCGCCCATCCTCCGCCTCCAGGGACTGTCTGGAAGAGCCACTTCGACGAGAACTTGGACTTCAAGTTCTTGGACCGCGACGCCTGCTGCCCGAAATGCCTCTTCATTATCCTTCCTCCTTCTCCCTTTCCTCCCGCTCCTCCTCCTCATCCTCCTGCGAGTGTAAGCGTCGAAGGGCAATGGTGTCCCACTCGATGGTCCTCTTGAGTCGACGTCGCCCTCCCTCCGCGATACTGATTGGGCTGCCTTTAGCATCGCCGCCAAGTTAATATATTTGGGAGTCTGGCTCGGTCCCGCGGCGACCTCTCTGGATCAATGGAGTGGACCCGCCCAGAAGCTCCCGTCTAGAACTGTTCAAAATGGGCTCAGGAGCCCATTTTGAAAGATGATTTGAGTCTTTGTTATGTGCAGCGTACCTTGCCCGTGCTCTCTTCTAAAGCTCATCTGTTCTTTTTGCCTTGGGCCATGGTAGTGCGTGAGAGGATGCTATTTGCTCGTCTCATGTGCGCCCCGTGCACGAGAGTCTCGCGCCCGGAGTGCTCCGAACTCCAGGTTTGAGGGCTACCTCTTTTGCCGAGTATCCTGTGGGCGCGTTGATGCGGTGCTCGTTGGCAAGACTCTCGACATGGCAGGCTCAGATCGCCCGCCTGCGGACGTCCGTGGTCTCTCATAGACCCGCAACTTGGTGGCAGTCTCCGCGGCACGCTCCCGAGTTTTGGCAGTCCGAGGCAATCGCTAGCACCCTTGAGTGGGCATCCCGGGGTTTTCCTCCTCATCCTCCCTCCTTCGATTTCTCCGCCAGTCCTCATTCTCGCCTTCTCCAGCGCGCTCTGACCCAGGGCGGAGCGGCTGCCTTGCATGTGTGTTCGGGATCCCGCGATCCGAGAGGCGAGAGAGAGACCGCAGTGGGAGGGGGAGTTTAAGCTTTGCTTCCAGGCTGCCCTGTACCCGCTCGCATCCTCGTTCGTGTCCGTCGTCACTTCGCCCCCTCCTTCGATTGGGAAGGGACAGAGGATGCTTCGATGGAGCTGCTGCGGTTGGCCCCCCCCCCGCGTGGGCCCAGATTGCTCTCAGATCGTGGCTTGGGGCATGGGTCACAAGCCGCAGGATGGCCCGACTTGATGTCCAATGCATCTTCGGGTGCGGTGCTCCGGAGAACGTCAATCAGTATAGATATATATATATATATATATATACAGGTGTATATAGATGTGTAGTTGCCGCAGGTTACAGTATGTCGCCTCCATGGTTCTGCGCTCGTTTCTCCCAGGGGACCCTCTCTTCCCCCGTGGGTTTCGAAGCGGTTCACTGGCCTTTGTAGTTGCGTGCTACCACACGCACACACATCGTTTAGCGTCCCATCAGAGTTCTCCTCCGTTGTCCCTTTCCCAAGCTGTCGAATTGATAGACGCCGTGAGGTTGGCCACACGTCTCCCAACGCGGAGGCGTCAGAGGCATCTGTTGTGCTGAGCATCCCTCGGCTCCGTCGTGGAGCAGGCGCAGCTGGGAAGGGAGGAAGCGTAATGTGGCTGGGATCTGTATTTTTTTTTTCACGCTCCGCCTCCTCCTCCTCCTGCTCCTCCTCCTCCTGCTGCTCCTCCTCCCACTTATCAATCCTCCTCATCGTTAGTTTTCCCCCATCCGCCAGTCTCATCACCAGAACCCCTAATCGCTGTTCTATCTCGGCCTAGCTGCAACAAGTGCCAGTCTGGGTGAGGCCCTGGACTGCGAAGCTTGACAGCGATGCGAACTCGTATGCTGTATGTGTACCATTGTGATTGACTGCATGGAAGTCAGCCCGCGGTGCCTACTGCGGAGGTGCTTAGCAAGTTTCGGCCAGACAAGGCACGAATTTTAAAAACATTGAGATATCATGGCAAAGGGCCCAACCATCTGCAGTTGTGAGTACCACAGTGGTGCGTACCCTCTTCGGTGAAGCTCCCTATGGGGCCACGAAACGTGTAAGAGGTGTGCCGAAATTGGTGGCGGGGACGCATATGGCCACAGCCACTGGGGCCTTCGGTGGAGCTCCCTATGTGGCCACGAAGCGTGTGAGGGATGCGCATGTGGTCCCAGCCAATGGGGCCTTCAGTGGAGCTCCCAATGGGGCCTCAAAGCGTGTGAGGGGTGTGCGTGTGGTCACAGCCGCTGGGGCCTTCGGTGGAGCTCCCAATGGGGCCACGAAGCGCGTGACGGGTGTGCCAGAATGGGTGGCGGGGACGCATGTGGTCACAGCCATTGGGGCCGTCGGTGGAGCCCCCCGTGGGGCCACGGAACGTGTGAGGCGTATGCCGGAAGGGGTGGCGGGGACGCATGTGGTCTCAGCCACTGGGGCCTTCGGTGGAGCTCCCTATGGGGCCACGGAACGCTGCGCAAGTAGTGGACATGCGGAGGGCAGAGGCAGGGAGGGAGGAGGGGCGAAGACGAGGAGGAAGAGAAGGAACGCGGGGCGCTGCCCCTACCCAACACCACAGAGCGGTTGGGAAAAACGCCAAGGAGCATCACTGGTGTTTGCCTCTCGGGTGCCTCAAGTGGGCTTTTTGGCGGCCTTCGTGGGCCTGCTGAGCCCTCCTGGGGCGGAAGGCTCGAATTGCCCGATCCCGCTCACCCTCCAGGGCCATTATCGCGGCCCTCTCGGACACTATGGTGCGCCTCTTGGGCCGCCTTGGAGCTCTTTTTGGGCTGTTTCGGGGCCTTACTGGGGCCTCTGAGGCCGTCTCGGGGCAATCCGCGTGGCCTGTGGGGTCTTGGGACGTCGGCAGTTCGAAAAGGCGAGAACCCGAAACGCACTGAAAGTCTCAAGGCGACAACTGGTGCGTGCCTCTCGAGGCCCTCTTGGGGAGGCTCGTGGGGCTCTCTCGTGGGACGCCTCCACGGCCTCGTGGGCCGTCTTGAAGCCATCTAAGGCTGACGTGAGGCCAGCCTGCCTGGCCCGTCTTGGAGCGATACAGTCGGGGCCCTGAAGAAGGAACCCCTTTGTGCGCCCCTGGACGCCAGGCCTCCTCCTCCTCCTCCGCCCCCTCCTCCTCCTCCTCCTCCTCCTCCTCCTCCTCCTCCTCCTCCTCCTCCTCCTCCTCCTCCTCCTCCTCCTCCTCCTCCTCCTCCTATCCTCCTCCTACTCCTCCTCCTCCTCCTCCTCCTCCTCCTCCTCCTCCTCCTCCTCCTCCTCCTCTTCCTCCTCCTCTTCCTCCCCCTAGAGGGGGTGGGCTTTCGGCAAACACATGAACCCGACCAGACAGGCGTTGGCATTCTTCCACCCGTCAACGTGCACGCGGCACGGTGGTGGGCTTGCGGGAGGTTCTGCCATCGTGCCGGCGTAGAAACACATTTTTGCGGCGACGTCTCGAGCACGCGACACAGCTTCTCCTTTTTGCTTCAGAGTGCTCCCATGTGGCCTACATAAGCCGTCTTCTTGGGGCTGTCCTGGGCTCCTTTGGGGCACTCGTGGGCCACCTTGGGGCCCTCTTGGGCCGTATTGGTGCCGTCTGAGGCCACTCTAGGCCGTTTGGTGAGTACCTTGCGGCTGTTTTGGGGGGCGTCTTGGGGCCCTCGTGGGCCATCTTGGGACCCCTTGGCATCGTCCTGGGCCTCTCTTGGTCTGTCCTGGACCGTTGGGGGGGGGGCGTATCCGGGCCCTCATTGGAGCCGCCTTTTGCTCTTTGGAGAGGCAGTCTCGGAGCCCTTTGGGGGGGCGTTTGATTTCTCTTTTGCTCCTCCCACGCCCTCTTGGAGCCATCTTGAGCCGAGGCGCGCGGGAAACTCAAAATATTCAAAAGTTGCGATGACAATCGAGCGTTCCATTCACTGTGGCGTTCCATTCGTTCTCTCTCTCTCTCTCTTTCCTTTCTCGTTCTGGTTAGTTTTCTCCCTCTCTCTCTCTCGTCTGGGGATCCTCGGGGGGGGATGGCGGAAGCACGCCCATAAGCGTGAGGAGAGGGGGTGCTTAGAAGATTTACAGTAGACTTACCAGACAGCACATGGCAGTCTAGTTCGCCTCAACGTGCCCGAGGTCGCGGTGGCGGATCAGTACTTACGCAGGCCGAAAGATTTTCCTCTTGAGCCCCACATGTCGGAAGCGACGCGCCGATCCCATCTGTTCTCCTCCCACCTCCTCTTGCCTCTTCCCTCATCCTTCCCCTCTTCATCCTGGGGAAACCCCCCTCCCCCTCTCCCACACCCGAAAAAGGATCCAATTGGATCCGTTGATGTTCTCATATTTTTAGTCCAAGAGGAAAAAAATTCGGCCTGGGGATGTATTCTCGAGCTGGGCAGCCTTTCTGTTGCCAAGGTCGGGCAGACGAACCCCACCCCCTTCTTTCCCACCGCCGGACCTTGGAAGCCTTGGTGGACTATGCCCGCATGATGTCCCGTCCTGCTCTTCCTCGTCCCCATCCTCCTGCCCGCTGCTCCCCCCCACTCCTCCGATGGGGCCTCTTGGGACCCTCGTGGTGGCCATCGGCAGAACACGGGAGCGGTGCGTAGTAGTGCCCTTCCCCCCCGCAGGCCGTTAACAAATTGCCTCTTGGGGCTCGCATGGGCGCTCTTGGGGGCGTCTTTGGCCCCCTCGCGTGACTCTCTTGGGCCATCTTGGAGCCATGTTGAGGCCTCAGGAGCCTCTTGGAAGCGAAAAGGCGAGAACCCAACAAATATTGAGTTGTAATTGGTTTGGAACGGGGTTTGGGCCTCTCGGGGGCGTCTTGGGGCGGTTTTTGGGCTTCTTGGTGGCATGCCGGAGGCTTTCTTGAGCGATAGTGCGCCGTGTTGTGAGATCTTGGAGGCCAACTGGGGCAATTTGGGACCTCTTAGGGGCCACTCTGGACGCTCCAGCGCCTCGCGACTGGGCCCGTCCAGACCCAGGGAAGGGGGGCGGAGGGGGAGAGGTGAACCTCTCCCCAAGGTTGTGATGCTCCAGCCTACTTTAGCCTTGATCACCAGAAAAAATTTCGAGCGCCCCAAAAAGTACCGAAACTCGATGGTTTTCACGTGTCGGGCCCTGGGAGACACTCGCCCGACACTGCTTCGACACTGTTTCGACACTCTTTTGACACTTTTCCGGGTGCTCGACATTATTTCTGAGATGCGGTCCTTAAGTAAGATGGGAACAACATAACCCCAAGGGGAAGGAGGTTAGACGAACCAATTCCCTAAACCACCCACGCCCAAAGGGCTGGTGGGATTCAATGCGTTGGCCATCCCTCCCGCCTTCGCTCCCTCCCTCTCCATGGCCTGTGGGCGGCGCGTCTTCATCGTCGCTGTCCGACGACGATGCTGGCCAATGTTGAGGACGTCTTGTTCTGATGATGCTGGAGCCGCTGGCGTCGCTGGCAGAACCGCCTGCTCGCCCTCTTTGCCGCCCTGAACATTATCGGCGGGAGCTGGCGGATCTGGTCGCTCTTTGGGCACACGCGTGGGCCGTGCCCAACACCGACGAGTGGTCGGTCCGCTGCGTGGACGGCATCTTCGAGCCCTTTGGCGGGAGCCCGCGCGGGGCCGTGGGCCCCTGGCGCATCGAGCCCCAACATGCGAAGGAGACTCTCCGATGGGGTCTGCTTGAGCGGCTGGTGCGCATCAGCCATCGGGCGCGAGCGGCTCCGCACGCCATGGTCATGGCACGAGGACCGACGACGGGCGGTCACACGGATCCGAGCTCATAGCCGTGTGCGGCAGTTGGACTGGAGGCTCGACCCCTCCCGCACGCGGTGGGACGAGCGGAACGGCTGCCCTCAGACAAACATGCGACAAGCCCAACGCCGCCTTGCAGCACCGCTCCCCCTTCTTCGGCCTGGCCGTGTCGGGTCGCTCCGCCGGAGCAGTTCGACCTCGGCCCTGCCGGGGTCGACATGCAGGACGTCGGCGACCATCTCTACCCGCCCAATGAGACGGACGTGGCCCCCCCAGAATCCCCCGTTCTCAACTTTTCACCCACTGACGACGGCATTGCCAACATGAAACCAGACCACGAGGCAGCGCAGGCCGAGGAGTTTGAGGACAGCATGAGATAACAGTTTGCCGAACTGCACGAGGGTGATATCAATTACTCCGGAAGATACGCCTGCCATTTGGCGGCGCGCCCGGGGGGAAGCGAGAAGGGGGCAGGCTTTTTCAAGAGGCGGCGGGGTTTCTCCGAAATGGTCTGGCCTTCTGAGAAGCCGACTCTGTCTTCGGAAAAGGCTTGGACAACTTCTCAGAAGGCCGCAGGCCTTCCGAGACTTCTGAGAAGGCCCACCCCTTCTGTATTACCCCCTGGACTCGCCGCCGATATCACTTCGACACAAAAGAACAGCAGACTGCCGTCATGGGTTGAGAAGTTACTCTTGGTTGCGAATGCACTTCCTGAGCCTCACGCAGGTTGCGAAAAGATCCGCTCGCCTGGGTGATCCCTGCCCTGCCTGCCGCTGCGACCCCCGCCGCGAGCTCAGCCCGGGGCCTGGCGGCAGTGGTGGAGGACCTCTGCCCGCGGTCTGAGGCGAGCGAGATCCTGCCTGCGGCATGGGATCGCCGCCTCGATGGCAGCCCTCGTCCCCAGGTCGACCCAACCTCTTCCCGCGAACATGGCCTGCGCGACGACTCCGAGGCGGTGACCTTCTCCGAATGCAACGTCTCCGACAACCTCTTCTCTTGTGCGCCACCTTCCCTGGGAGACGAGGATGTCCGCCCCAACCCGACGGCCGCGTCCCCCACTGCTCCTGCGGATTGGCATCCTGTTGCCAATGGTCTCGGCTTTACGAGCGCCTTCGTCGTGCATGACCTAATCGACAACCCTGCCAATGGACCCTGGCACCTGGAGGAAGGTGACAGTGTCCATGGCGACGGCGCTGCGATGCACGCAGCCCTGTGAGCCAGAAGCCGCTCTCCACATGGTCACCGAATTTGGCCTGGAGCTCAACGAAGCGGGCGGCCAGCCCGACGAGCTCGACCTCGCGTTGCCCTCGCTCGAGAGCGGCTCCCAGCGCATCGACGACTCCGACGCCACCGAGGTGCCCCTGGACACCGCCGTCGGCCCGCTGAGAGGCGGAGCGCGAGGCGGACCCCGCCACACCGCCTCGGCACCTGCAGGCAGGATCCCGCCCCATCTGGTCGCTCGCTCCCTCTCCCACCCCTCTTCCCCTCCTCCTCCTCCCCCTCCTCCTCCTCCTCCTCCTCCTCCTCCTCCTCCTCCTCCTCCTCCTCCTCCTCCTCCTCCTCCTCCTCCCCGTCGGCCCATGGGGGCTCCGACGCCTGGCCAGAGGCCGACTCCCTGCAGCACGCGTTTTCGGGGTGCCCTTCGGCGCGCGGCGCGGCAGCGCGCACCGAAGACGTGATCGCGGCCATCCGTGGTCCCGCGGTCCTGCGGTGGGCGGGGGGGAGGAGGAGGAGGAGGAGGAGGAGGAGGAGGAGGAGGAGGAGGAGGAGGAGGAGGAGGAGGACGATGGGGGAGGAGGAGGGGGGAGGAGGAGGAGGAGGGAGGAGGAGGAGGAGGAGGAGGAGAAGAGGAGGAGGAGGAGGGAGGAGGAGGAGGAGGAGGAGGAGGAGGGAGGAGGAGGAGGGAGGAGGAGGCCAAGACCCGAGGCCAGGCGCCAAGACCCGAGGCCAGGCGGCCAGCGCCCTCCAGAGGAGCGGTTGCTCAAAGAGGCTGCGCGCGCGAACCACGGCTACGTTGTATGGTAGACCTCCCGCAGGCTGGGTGCACGATGCGGAGGTGCCCCGGAGGCGCCCCAGGCTGACGTCGTGCTGTCCCAGGAGGGCATCGTGCGCGGGGCTGGTGCAGCGTTGGGGCGTGGCGGCGCTGCCACTCCTTCGACGTTTCGCGCCGTTCTGTGGCGCCGAGGACAGCGTGACCTTGCGCACCGCGTGGACAAGATCTGCGAGGTTTGGCGGTACGCCGCACCCCGAAGAGGACGACTTGATCCAAATAGTCTCTGCTGCGGTCCAGCCCAAGTGACACAAGACGGAGTCGAGCGAGCATCCCATCGGACAAGGAGTCGAACTTCGGCGCGCACCTCTTGGGTGGCAACGGCGTTGCCACGTCTTCTGCCACATGGCCATCGCCCTGGGCAACGGTCCTCCGAGGGTGTTGCCATCAGGGCTGGTCGGTCCACCGAAATTGATGCCTTCGGGGCCGAGACCCACACCGCGCTCAGGGTCGCAAGCGATAGGAGCGACTCGTTGCATTTCCCGCTGAAGGCTATGGACGTGACGTCGTCTACGGTTGACATCGACGGAGGTGAGGTGTCGGACGGTAGCAAGCCGCTGGCGAAGGCTCGGGCGTTCTGCGCCGCCAAGTGGGGCCCCGCGCACCACGGCAGTGGCATGTCCGAACGTCCGGCGGAGGCCGAGCGCAAGATCAAAGCGCTGCTCGTTCGGACGGCCCAGATCGCAACCGATATGTTCTGCTAGGTGCGAGGTGGCCTCGGACCCGGAAGAGCGGCTCGGGCCAGTTCGGCCCGTCGACGAGGTCGGCCCGGGTGGGCAAGGACCTCATGGTGGACGCAGACCCGATGAAGCTGCATGATTTTGTGCGGCCCGTCGCGGTGGCCATAGATTGTGGAACCGATCGTGCCCGTCGTCCCACAATCGAGCGCAGCGAAGCCGCATTAGGTTTCCCTGAGCAGCGCCTTCGTGACCGAGGTGGGCTCGCAAAAGGGCCAAGGTCCTGACCAGCACCTAATCGAGCTCGAATCGAGCAAGGAGGCACAGCGCAACAATGTGTTCGAGACCGAGCCACCTAGCGGTGCTGCCGTGAACGGTTGGTCCCCTCACGCGGGATGCTGGCTTGCACGCACCCCCGCGCCCCGAGTGGATTCAGACCATCTTTCTCCGCATGGTTTGTCCTCCTCCTCCTCCTCGTCCTCCTCGACCCCTTCCACACGACTGTCGTTCCAATCCTCAGCATATGCCTCCTCATCCTCCTATTTCTCTACATCCTCCATGTCATCCCCACGGGCAGCCGAGTCCTCTACAGTAGGGGTCTTGAAGAAGGAACCCTTTTCATTGGGGAGGGGCTCGGTGTTCCTTGATTCTTTCAAAGTTTGCCTCGGGTTTTCCTGAGGTTTTCCATGGAAAATCGAGGTTGAACTTATGGGAAATAGGGGCCTCGTTCCTTATTTAGGATTCCTTGGGTCAACGCCCCGACTGTATCCGCTGCGGCCGCGCACAGGACAGGAAGGGCAAGAAGGTGGTCACCCGGATAATCACCGACCTGTCCGCGAAACGGCCCATCCTAGAGATGGTCATGGCGAGGACGGCCCCGGATCGCGAAGACAGGGGAGGAGCGTGTCACTATCGATGAACTATCGGGGGCGGAAAAGGGGGGTGATGACTAGGGGGGGGGGGATATCATGGCGGGGGCCATGATATCTCCCCAGATTTCATGGCGCCTCTTCTTATTACCTAACAGCGTAGACTGATAGGTTTCTAGTTGACTCAAAAGAGCTCACAGATCACTCCACAGGGGGGTCCGGGCAGGCGTTGGGAGTTGCCGGCCGGGCCTGTGCCGGGCTCGTTTTTCACCAACAATCACACACTTCGTGCTCGTCGACCTCTCAGAACCCCATTCCCAGGCCACATTCTGAATAACCGGATGCAACAGTCACACACTTGGTGCTCTTCGACTTCCCAGAACTCCATTCCCGGGCCACATTTTGAATGCCCGGAGCCAACTGTAGGCCACTTCGTGCTCTTCGATTTCCCAGAACTCCATTCCCGGGCCACATTTTGGATGCCCGGAGCCAACTGTAGGCCACTTCGTGGTCTTCGAGTTCCCAGAACTCCATTCCCGGGCCACATTTTGGATGCCCGGAGCCAACTGTAGGCCACTTCGTGGTCTTCGAGTTCCCAGAACCCAGAGGTCCAACCGATAACGAAATGTTATCCGGTGGTTTGGTGGTTATCAGGGGATGTTCCCGGTAACCTGGTGCAGTTACGAAAATGATGCATGCTGGCATAATGTAGATTGCAGACACATTTTCGTACATACGCAATTAATATTGGGCTGTTGAGTTGTAAACTCACCAAACGCAATGCTTGAGCCAACGTAATTGTATGATTGAGCCAAAATGGCATCGCTTCAAGGGGCAGGAGGAGGAGGAGGAGGAGGAGGAGGAGGAGGAGGAGGGGGGAGGGGGAGGGGGGAGGAGGAGGGGGAGAGGGGGAGGGGACAAGGAGGAGGAGGAGGAGGAGGAGGAGGAGGAGGAGGACTAGGAGGAGGGGGATGAGCAGGAGACGTTGGACGCAGCAGAGGATGAAAAAGAAGAGGAGGAGGAGGAGGAGGAGGAGAGGAGGAGGAGGAGGAGGAGGAGAGAGAGGAGGGGAGGAGGAGGAGGAAGGGGTATAGGAAAACGCACTCCAAAACACAGACTTTCAATGAGGCCTTGACGTCCTCCTCCTCCTCCCTCTCTCCTCCTCCCCTCTCCTCCTCCTCCTCCTCCCCCTCCTCTTCATCCTCCTCCTCCCTCATCCTCCTCCTCCCACTCCTCCTCCTCATCCCTCCTCTCCTGCCCCCTCCTCCTGATCGTCCTGGTCATACTCAGTTTCTTTTGCAAATCCTCATTCTCCTCCTTCTCCTCCTCCTCATCCTGCCTCCTGCCTCCTCCTCCTCCTCCTCCTCCTCCTTCTCCTCCTCCTCCTCTGCTCCTCCACTGCATGTTCTCCTCCTCGTCCTGCTGCTGCTCCTCATCATCCTCATCCTCCTCTTCCTCATCCTCATCGTCCGTCTCCTCAGCGTCATCCCTCTGTTCTGCGATGCGTTCCTCACCGCGCGGCGGATAGCCTTGAAAAATACAAAGAGAATCAGGCAGGTCCAGGAAATCCCAGGGGGGGCCCAGGTGGTCCCAGGAGGCACCAGGACGTCTCAGGAGGCACCAGGATGCTTCACGATTTTGAGGAAGACGGTGCAGGGAGGGCCAATCAGTGAACGCCAGCGCTGTCAAGACACAATTGCGGTGGTATCGGTCGCAACCAGCTCGCTATTCATAGGTTTCAATTGTTGTAAGAACGTGTTTAGTTAGATAACCTGTGCTATATTAGATCGCTGAGGTGCCGAGACGTCGCGCGTGCACCCCAGCCAGGGGATTGAGGGGGGGGACGGGGGGGGGAGGGGGGGCACGAGGAAGAGGACGATACTGAGGAGGAGGAGGAGGAGGAGGATGAGGAGGGGATAAGGGGACAGGATGAGGTGGACGACATTACGGGGACACGACGCAAGTACGGTCCCCGTCCATCGCCATTGCCACAGCCTTGAGAATTGTTGTGTGTATGTTGTGTTTTCTCGTCGTGTCGTATCCAACTCATCATTCCCCATCCTCAATCATTCCATTCTTTTTCCTCCAATACATCCCCATTACATTTATGTTGTATCGCGTGCGATTCGCTTTGGGCATCCTCAATGAATATGCGAGTGTTTCACGCACTATATTCATAACCCCGACGCAGAATAGTTATTTGCAAAATCTATCCCTATAGTCGATACGGTGGAACGGCGCGGTTGTCATGTACGCCTCGGGCGTCATGATTGTATGTACCGCAACATCCCATCGTCAAAACCATTGGGATTGAATTCGCTATGACTTATTTTGAGTTCCACTCACATGATTAATGACAACATGTTCGCACTCGAACAGGCCACATTGCAGTCGCTCGCGCGGCGTGCCCACGCGTGAATTGAAATCACAACCAACAAGGCAATGCAGCCGCAGCGGCCGCACTCGAGCTCAGATGGGCGGCCGCGATATCAGCGACAAGCTCAGCAAACCTAGAAGGATATTCTTGCGTGGCCTTCATTGCATCACCATTCTTAGACACCCACTTGTCTTTGCACCAACCCTTTGCACGAGGCTGAGAAGACGGCTTCTTTATAGTTGATTGGACAACTGCATACAATTTGGCGCCACCGAGTGCCACTTGCGCTTGGCGCCGAGACATCGACAGCTGAATTATGTCGGTGGTGCTAATGGTGGTCCACAGCTCGAGTGGTTTCACCGTCGGACTCCCGAACGCTCCCAAATGAGTAACCATGCGGGTCGCCGCCGTGATACTAAACGAGTCTCGCACATGCTGCACATGATACAGCAGGCTGTTCAGTGGTTGTTCCACCACAAAATGCACACGCCGAGTATGGGCCAGAACCAGCATATGTGACCTCTGGGCACATCAATGATTTGAATCAGTATTTCAATGGAAATACCGGCCGACGAGGGGCTCCATCGCAAAGTCCATCGCGATGGAGTTCGCGATGGACCCCCCCGTCGGCGATTGTCAAATCTTTCCATATCAGTGGGGCTGTGACGGCACATTAGGATATCATTAGTGAGCGATCGGATGTTAGTGGCTTGCATCGATTGGTCCCTGAGAGGCGACCACCATACATATGAAAAACACCACCGAGTTTGAACCGGATTCCGAGGGCCACAGAATTCCACACGCCGACCTATATCCACTCGTTCGCGTCGAGGTGATCCGATTTCATTTCATAATATATTGTATCATCGATGCGTCACTGAAAGAAGATCGATTCGAATCCAGCGTGGCGTCGATACATGATGCCCCACCGAAAAACACAGAATGCTCATTTATGTCAACCCCGATCACAGCAACTGAGAAATGAAGTTCGCCTCGCGGACGTCCACGCGATTGCTGAGGTGCCCGAGCGGGTTGTTGGTCGACCTCAGCGCGTGGTGGTTGCACATCTGGCCCCAGGTGCTGCACTGGGGGCTGAACCATACAAGGCCAGAGTCCACTACAGATGCCACCATCCATAAGCAGTATAACATTCCCACAAGAGTACACGCATCATGCCAGCTGTGCTTGTCGCGCTCGAGATAGTGCGATGAAAACCCTTTCGATCTCATTGCACGTGCGATGGAAGCTTTCCCTGCGAACACTTCGAACAATGCCGTGGTCCGAGGGATTCGCGGAAGCTCGTCAGTGATACGTTGGATAGCAAGTTGCAGAACAATGTTCGGAGTGTCCATAATATCATCGCACAGCAGCTCATTTAAACCAACTGCTGTTGAGGAGGCCCAAAGAAAACCCATCACGTGCACGTCTCCACCATCTGCGTCAATAGGGGGGCCAGCCGAGAAAGAAAGCATCGCAACAATCAGGAGCGCTGTCGAGCGGCAAGGCGGGAACATCCTGCTGACGACGCCAAATATTTAGAATGTGGCCCCGCAAGAAAACCTTGCAGTTCGATCAACTGGTGTGACCTTCGGGAAAAAGTGAGCCGATGGCTGAACTGAGCAACGTCTCGCAACAGAATATTCAGTGTTTCATCCAAGAAGCAGTCGTATTGTTTAGGCCCACCATGAGAAGGTATCCTTGTTTTGTTTATTTGGTGATCAAGCGCAAAGGGGGATGCAACGCTACGTGTGACGAGGGGTGCGCCCAGCGGTCGGGCGGTGCATTTATACAGTGGGGTGGGCGAGCGGGAGTTGCATGAGAAGGAGAGTGCGAGTTTTGTTGAGAAAAAGCAGTCAGCCCCTTCCACCAGACCCCTGACGACATCCCGAGGCCAGTATACTGCTATACGGCTACCAAACAATCAGAATGTCGAGACGAGCCCTTCGTGGCAGACGAGATGGCTGCACGCAGGTGACAGCATGCGTTGTGCGACCCCCTGGCCACTTCAGAGCACATATCCTGGCGATCGAGTGGTACATCAAACGTGTATCACCGTGCCGCCTTGGGCGCGAACCATTCAGAAAGTCGAGGCGAAACCACCGCTGGCGACGAGCTTCCCCTAGTATACGACACAAGTGTTTGCATCCCCCCTGGCCCTTTCACAACGCATATCCTGGCGAGCAAGTGACACATCAAATGATGTTTCGGCGTCATCGCTAGTGACGCCGTCTTTGCGAACTTGAGATGCATATCCATAGCTCTGAGCATTGATCTGTACACGTCTGGGGGCGGCTGATGCTTGTTTGCCTTGATCAGATGCACCAGCTCGGCAAGCGAAAAGCCGGCTCCAATCAGGGCACTCCCAAATACTCGATCCCCCCCGTGTGCCTGAAGCCGATCCAGGGCGAACCGCAAGAGAATAGTTGATTCTGCTGCTTTACAAGAAAGGTGCCCTCCAGGGTGGCACGTGTCCTGAAGATCTAATTATATCCAGAAGCTACATTGCATGTCCCGAATTGAAGCTAGGGGAATGTACACAGATGGCAAGAGATGTCGCATTCCTGCTGCGCGAGCAACAATGTCAGGGCACCCGCGACGACAGCCACATTTTGAAGACCAGCTGC